TACCAGTACCAGACTGTTTTGATAACCACTGCTCTGTAGTATGTCTTGAGGTCTGGAATTGTGAGTCCTCCAGTTTGATTTCTATTTTTCAGGATAGCTTTAGCTATTCGTGGTCTTTTGTGATTCCAAATGAACTTTTGTATCATCTTTTCTATTTCCGAGAAGAATGTTGTTGGGATTTTGATTGGGATTGCATTGAATCTGTATATTGCTTTTGGTAATATGGTCATTTTGATAATGTTGATCCTGCCAATCCAAGAACATGGTAATGTTCTCCATTTTTCAAGGTCTGCTTCTATTTCCTTCCTAAATGATTTATAGTTTTCATCATAGAGGTCTTTCACATCTTTAGTTAGCTTAATTCCTAGGTATTTAAGATTCCTCTCCTCTATTTTAAAGGGGACAGTACTTACAATTTCCTGCTCAGCCGTGGAATTATTTGCGTACACTAGCGCCATCGATTTGTGTTCATTAATTTTGTATCCTGCCACTCTGCCAAAGTCTCTTATGAGAATATAGTATAGTTCTTCATGAACAGTCCTATTTCCATCATTTCAGGCGTGGACAGTGGCAGAGTCTAGTATCTTATTGTCAAGATATAATTAATAGTTTCATTGGGAGTCCGTCTTTGATCTGGAAGTAGAGATGCATGTTGCTTTGTATCCTCATATCTGGATATGATGGTATCCATTACACAGTTACCGTACATCCCCTTAAATGAAAAGCCACAATACAATATCAACAAGAAGAAAAATGGAAATTTACAATGCCATGAAGTTCTCAAGAGGTTTTGATACTTTAGCAGTCCTGAATTGCTGTCGATCCCACCACTGCAATTGGGATGAAATCTCTCCAGAATCCACTGGCTGCTACAGTCTACCTTAGAGTCTCCATCTGCCTGATATTCACTGCCAACACTTGGTTGGAATAATTGATCAATTTGCTTTGTCCTCTGTACTCTGCCGTGGTACCAGGCATCCTCTGGAGGCTCCAATGTGCTGCCATATCCTCCATGTGCATTTGGATATGCTGTCCACTGCTCTGTATGAGCCACTGAGGAGGCCCAGCTCTGACACGTGCATTCCACCCTCAGACAATGGAACCTGCAATTCTCTCCAGGTTGGGGTTCAGAGTCCAGTGGTTCAGTTGGCAGGGAATGACCAGAGAAACCTCATCTGAGGCCGTCCCAGACCTGATTCTTGTGCGTTTGTCAATACAAGGTTTGGCACAGTCTGTCACCCAAATCAGCCTGTGCACACACTGGTAGTTGCAATTGCTGGATCAGTTCTGTCTCCAGCTCCATGTTTTACATAAACCTATGGGTGTTGGAGTCCATCCGATCCTGTCCACTACATACTCGGCCTTCCTGCAAACCTGTAGAAGCTGCGGCATAGTTGGAGCGACCCACAATAACCCTGTCCGGGCCCGCTACCTACCCTGCTGCCCCTGCTTTCCAGTATGTACAGCTGACTGGTCCCGTCTGTCCCTCATCCCATTTGGCTCTTGTACATGATAATGTGCATTGAAGCCCAATTTATACCAACCAGCCCCACTATCCAGTCCACACTGGTGCCAGCGGGTGCCACCATCTGTTTAGCTATGCCTGCGCCTGACAGAATTTGCCCCCCATGCCAGCATCTGCCAGCTGATTCTGCGGCAAAGCCCAACCCACCCACCACTGACTTATGCATGTACCAGAAGGTACAGTCAGCCCAGCCTGGCTTTTCCCAATCCAACTCACGTGTAGGCTGTTAGATGTTGTGGCCCTGCCTGGCCTGGTCTGCCCCTATGCCAGCTCTCATGCTCATCCTAGGGGGGTAGTGGCCCACTAGGGGGCCCCCACACCCACCCCACTGGGTCCGTTCCTCCCCCTCCCTGCTTCCGGTTTCACATGTGCTGTTTGGGTGCTACAGCCAGTCTGGCACAGCCTACCTCACCTCAGCATTTGCCAGTGGGTGCTATAGCCTGGCTGGACCTGGCCCACCTCTAATTCCAACTCACGCTGATGGGGTCTACAGCCTAGCCCAGCCCTGCCACCCCCCATTCCTGGCCCTAATGTGGACTGGCAGGCTGGGCCACCCCCCCACCCCCAGCCAGAAGTGATTGATGGGGTGAGGGTGTTGTATTGTTTTTTATAAGCCTTTCCTGGAAGCAGTGTTGAGCATGTCAAGTCTGAAAAGGAATGTAGTCGCTCTGTTTTGGTGCATTGAAGAGTCCACTTTATGTAAAAGAGGAAGTCATAGGATACTTTGACATATCTCTCCTCAAAAAGTAAGGAAGCGAAATAAGGTTTTACAGTTTGACCTAGTGCTTTCCCTGACTTTATCTATTTTAATTCCTATAATAATTCCAGTCATGCCTCGCAGTCATGTCTTGCATTTTATAGAAAGAGAAACTGAGAGTTATAAAAGTGACTTCCTGAGGGTTACTTACTTAGTAAGCCAGTAGAGACCAGTGCAAACCCCAAACACTGCTTCCTTTTTTGTCATTCTGTCTTTATGCGGCATATGGAAATGAACGGTGAATTTTTCCTTTGTTTTGTCACAGTGTCATCTCAGTTTAGTTTGTTGTGTCATACCTTTTTTGCTTGCTGTCAGTCCTTACATATATAGGTGAATAGTAGCATGTGAAAAAAATAAAATGCTGGGAAGTGGCAGCATTGCCACTTTATGTAAAAGTGGCACTTTATTATTGAGAGGCAGAATCAGAGTCAGCGTGGGATAGGGAGACAGAATGAGAGACACAGAGAGAAAAATCTTCCATCCTCTGGTTTACTGCCCATGTGACCACAATAGCTGGATCTTGGTCAGGCCAAAGCTAGGTGTTCCATCTGGGTTTCCCACATAGGTGGCAAAAGCCCAAGTGCTTGGATCATCTTGAATTGTTTTCCCCATTATACTAGCAGGGAGTTAGATTCAGAAGTGGAGCAGCCAGGATGTGAAGTGCTGCCCTGATGGGATGCTGGCACCATAGGCTGTGGCTTAATTTGTTATGCTACAACACCAACCCCAGCAATTAATCAAATGTACTCTACATTCTGAAGGCTTATGAAACTATTGAAAACTTTCCTCCGTGTTTTAGTTTGCTCTTTGATCTTACGTCCTAGAAATAGTTCTCACGGATGTGCCTTAGTGACAGTGCCTTCGTTGGACTGTGCTGAAGTGAGGCTGGTTGGATTGGCGTAGCTGTCTGGAATTACTTTGTGCTACAGAAGTGATAACTGATGGTTCTGTTTATGTCTTGTTGTTTTCTATCCTGCTGAGGACCAAGGACTGCATTGTATTGGTTGTGGTTATAGTTTGGACAGTGGCAAGAAGAAGTAATCAATCAGTTTAGGAATATGTTCATTTGAATGATTGAATGAAGTGAAATTCACATGACATTATTGAAATTAACCACTTCAAAGTGAACAATCCAGTTATGCTAGGTACTTTCAGTTGTATAACTGCCACTTCTGTCTAGTTCCCAGGCTGGTTTGTCTACTACTGTATGACATTTGATTGAGCTTAAGCCAATTGCTTTCAGAGTTAATATGCATGGGTGGTAATTTGATCCTGTTATTTTAGGAATGGGTTGTTCATTGGCTTTTAGTCTTCTGTTGTCATTTTACTGGGATGTTCTTCCCGTTTGCCTTTGGTTTCATTGGGTGCTTTTTCTCTTCTCTGTCAAGAGAACATCTTGAAGTATCATTTGTAGGGCAGGTTTGAAAGAGGCAAATTCTTTTAACTTTTCTTTACTGTGGAAGAATTTTATTTCATTTTCAAAGACAAAACAAAGCTTTGCTGGGTACGTTAACATGGGCTCACAATTTTTTCCTTTTAGAATTTGGAATATGTCACTCCATTCTCTTCTTGCCTGTAGAGTTTCCTGTGAGAGATCTCCTGTGAGCTTAATGGCATTCCTTTATATGTCAGTTGATTTTTTTCACGAGCATATTTAAGGATCTTTTCCTTATTTTCAATTGAAGAGAGCTTGATGATCATGTGTCGTGGTGAAGATTGGTTTTGATCAAGCCTGTTGGGAGTTCTGTGCCCCTCCTGATGTTATTTCCCAATTCTTTCTCTAGATTAGGGAAGTTTTCCCTTATTATTTCATTAAACATATCTGTGAAACCAGTTTCTCTTTCTGTACCTTCTGGGACTCTGATAACTCTTATATTAGGTCTCATAGTGTTTTTGAATTCTTGAATACTTTTTTTGGCCTGATCCAGCTCTGCTTCCAGGTTTTTGTTTACTTCCCCCTGGTGACAGGAAATATCTTCTAATTCTGAGATTCTTTCTTCTACCTCCTTCATTCTATTTTGGAGACTCTTGATTGTACTTTTAATTTGCTGTACTGTGTTCTTAATTTCTGATATATCAGCCTTGATTTGCTTTATTGCTGCTATTTCTTGTGTAACATAGTCCTTAAATTCTTTGAACTCCTGTATTTGCTTCTCATTGTTGATCAGAATCTTTAAAATGAGTCTTATGGATTCTTTGTCCCCCATTTTCTCGATGTCTTCCTCAGTTAACTCTGAGGTTGGCATAGGGTTTTGCTCCTTTGCAGGGGAGTTTTCAGTAATATTCATTGTGCTTTTGTCTCTTCTTTTGCTCTTTGTCATTGTACTTCTGGTTATCAGAGTCCTCTCCTTGGGGCAGGTTTCTAAGCTGTGTCACGCACAGGTCTACAGTTTGATTTTACTTATTGCAGTTGGTATACAACTCTTTGCTTGCAGCCACTTGAGCCACTCCCTCCAGCAAGTTCCAGGTCTGGGTTCTTATGTCAGATTTCCACCATGGTCCATAGACCCCAGCTCCTGGCTCACTACTCTCCACCTCCTGTGTTATTATGCTGAGGTTGCACTGTTGTCTGTACAACCTTTCTCCCACTTCCATTTACAGCAGGCCCAGGATTAGGGAGACACCAGGTATTCTATGTAGCTAGGCTGTTGGTGGTGCTGATCTTGTCAGAACCTGTTGGCTGTTAGGTCTGAGTGCCACATGGACCTATTTTGACCAGTATGATGCCACAGTCGGTATTATTTTCCTGCAGGACCAGTGCAAACCACGGACCTCAGCAAGTCTCTTGCGAGCTTAGCACATGCTCAGTTCATTGTTGTCCCCTGCAGTCCTAAACTTTTGCCACACTGTACAAAATGGCGCCCGAGGTACCACCACCACAGTTCTCGATCTGCTGGCCGTCATATCGGAGGGGGCTACCCAGACCTGCCCCGGGTGGAACCCATAGAATGCCATGTCGTTGCAGTTCGTTGAGTCAGAATTGAGTTCACTCCCCACTCAGAGCATGCTCAGTCCTTTCCCTTGCCTTTGCCTCCTTACCCAAAATGGCTCCCAATTCAGCTCTAGGGAGCTGACTGGGTTAGAAATCCACTCTGTTTTCGCACTGTCTGTCTGAGATCTGCTGCTCTGTCTCTGTTCCTGGTCAAATCAGACAGACCAGCAGGATGGACCGTTCTTTGTCTAGGTTCACCTCCCAAGCTTCCAGTGAAAGTCCCTTCCCACCTGATTGCTGGTGGAGTTCAGATCACCATTAGCTGAATGCTTCTGGATTATCAGTCACTGCGACATCACACCTTTGTTTTTGCTGCTTTCCTGTGTCTGACAGTCTCCAGCTACCTCTCTCTTGTTCTGTTCTTTCCTATTTCCTGGAGTGTGTCCTCTCTCCTTCATCCTGATTAAATGTTTCTCTGTCCGTTGAAATGTGTCCTTGCCCTATTCTGGCATCTTGATTCTCCTACATCATTCCTTTTTAATAGTTGAGTAGTGATAGATTCTTTGAATATGCTATAGATTATATACTATGAATATGAGTCATTTCTACCCTTGTTATTGTGAGTAATGCTGAAGGGGACATGTGGGCAGATTTATTTGGTTAAGTGCTTACTTTCAGTTTCAACTTCAGACTAGAATTCCTGGGTGATAGGTTCTTTGTGTAACTTGTTGAGAAGCTTCCAATCTGATTTCCTTAGTGACTGCTACATTTCAGATATTCCTACCAGCATTGTATGAGAGTTCCCGTCTTTCAATATCTTTATTATTGCGTGTTTCCTTTTTAAGCTAACGTTTTTGTGGGTGTGGCATGATATCTAATACAATTTTGATATGCATTTCTCTAATGATCAGTGCTATTGAGCAACTTTTCACATATTTGTTGCCTACACCTGTAACTGGAGAAAAATCTATTCAAATTTTTTGCCCACTTGAATATATTATTTCAAGGAGCTGGTGTTATAGCATAGCAAACCAAGCCTCTGATAGTAGTGCCAGCATCCTGTGAGTGCTCCAGTTCAACTCCCAGCTGCTCCATTTCTGATCTAGATCCCTGCTAGTGCTCCTGGGTGAAAAAAGTGGAAGAAGACATAAGTGCTTGGGTCCTTACAGCCACATGGCTTTGGAATGGCTCAGCCCCAGCCATTGCAGTCATTTGAGGAGTGACAGTAGATGGAAGATACCTCTTTCTGTCTCTCACTCTCTGTAACTTTAAGTACATAAAATAAATCTTAAAAATAGATCGCTGTAGGCCAGCTCCAGCCAAATTCAGAGCTTGAGAAGGGTGTGTGGAGTTGTGTTTTAACAAAGGTAAAGAGATAAAGATGGACCACTGTAATTTCGTGATCACAATGGACAATGCAAGAAAGCTGTTCCACTTATACAGAAGTCACAAGCTTTCCAACAGACTTCACCTCATGGTCAGGTGGGTGTTTCCAAAGATAATTCTGCAAATTGTTTTACCTTAAGGCAGGGCATTATCCGTTCTGACCTTGCAGGCAAGAATTCCTCAGTTGGCAGCACATGTTAATCAGTGATACACTCCTACTACATTTTTCATTCTACTACTTATCAGTTAAAGGTCATCACTCACAGGTGAAGGGACCAACAATAGCCTGGGCAGGTCCAAGCTGCAGCATCCTAAAACAGGGTGTGGGATGGGCTGGGCTGCAACTGTGCACTAGCTCCTATGAGGCTAAGATGGAAGGGCAGGCTATGCTAGGCACTGGCCTAACGCCTGCTGGCAACTATGAGATCTGGGTCTGGGAGTGGATCAAGTCGGGGAACTTGGGAAACTGCCCTAATTAGTCATAACTCCACTGACGATCACATGCTCCAGGCCTTGGGGTCAGGCAAGCTGAGCAAAGTATCTCCAACTGTTGGTTAATGTGTGGGTTGGTTATGGAAGGGGGTGGACCAGGCAGGGCTGAGCAAACCTTGGCTCATGAGCGAGAACAGAAATCAGGCAGGAGTGCAGGTCATGCCAAGCTAGGCAATTACACCTAGTGGTTTACATGAGCCAGGAATGGAAATAGACCAAGCAGGACCAGGTTCTATCACCCTGCAGTGAGAATCGGGACTGGGGGCAGGCCGGGTCAGGCCAGGTTTCAGCATCTAAGGCAAAGACCAAGAAAGGTGAGGGGCTATGCCAGGCTGTATCAGAGCAACCACTGGCACACACACGATCTTTGGCTGGGAACAGGTCTGGTTGGGGAGCAAGGGGACACTGTGATTGGGTTGGAGTTCCCGCTGGTGAATGTGGGTGCTAGAATGTGAGCTGTATTCTGGTATGGTTATGACTGCAGTGTTCCTCAGCACAAGTGTGAACGGGGGCTGGGTGCACTGAGCTGGGATAGACTCCATCACCAACTGGTACCCTGGAGGACCTGGGTGGGTGTAGGATGGGCTAGGTTAGGTTAGAGTCATGTGTAAGCTGTGTGTATCTGGATGTGGACCAGCCTAGGCTGGGCTGAAAAATCCAACAGTAAGAACTGGAATGGGATGAAGGCCTGTCAGGAAAGGCCACTCTCCCTGCTAGAACAGGAGGTAGACTAAGTAGGGCTGGCCCATGGACCCACCAGCGTGCACGAGACCTGACATTAGGCGAGGTTCTGATGGAGGAGCATGGGAAACTCCTGTATCGGGACAGAGTCACAGCAGGTGAACGTAAGAACCACGATAGGGAGCAGCCCAGACCAGATCAGGGAATGGTACTCACCAGCATACATTTGGCACAGGTTGGGGGCAGACCAGGTTGAACCAGTTTACAGTACCACTGGCGAAACTGAGAACCAGAATAGAGTGTGGGTTGAGCCAGGCTGTGTCGCAACACATAGTAGTACACATTACGGTTGGGACTGGGTGCTGGCTGGGCTCGACTAAGTTAGGTTATAACTCCCGCAAGCAGGAGCTGGAATTGGGGGTGGGCCGGGTTGGGCCAAGCCACAGCACCCATTGGCAAATGCCAAGGTGAGGTGGGCCAGGACATACTGGGCTGCAGCACCCAGCCAGCACATGTGAGAACCGGTGGGAGGTAGCAAAGCCGGTAGGGGAAATGTGGGGGGTCTCCTCTGTTGGACCACCACTCCCACTAGAGAGTGTTTGTTGGGATGTGGGCAAACCAAACCGGGCAGAGCTACAATACCTGTGGCCTCGTGTGAGCTAGATCAGGGAAAAGCCAGGCTGGGCTGACTGTTCCTACTGGTACAAGCATAAATTAGAGTGGATAAGGGTTGTGGGGTTTTGCCGCAGCATCAGCTGGGAGGTGCTGGCACAGAGGGCTAATTCTGTGAAGTTAAACTGCAGAACCACCGGGAGATGGAGTGGGCCCTGTAGGGAAATAGTGGGTACCTCCTTTTTGGGTTACCACTCCTACTGGAGAGCATGAAAACCAGGACTGGGGCAGACATGGCTGGACAGAACGGCACCCACCAGCACCTGAAAACCAGGAGCCTCTTCCAGGTCTCCCATGCAGGTGCAAGATCACAAGACCTTGGGCCATCCTCTATTGCTTTCCCAGGCCACAAGCAGGGAGCTGGATTAGAGATGGCACACATATGGGATCCCGGCACATGCAAGGCGAGGACTTTAGTCACTAGGTTATCATGCTGGATCCACAATTGAAGAATTTTAACTGCTTTAACTACAAAGGGGCGTATGTTTGGTATCTCGTGAGTGTCCATCTTCAAGACTCCAGAAGGTGAATTCACATTTTCAGGTTTTTTTTTCACTGAAATAAATGTGACTTTTAATCCCACTTTGATCCCATTTTTATTAACTTTTTGAGGTATCTCTGTGTGTGTATTTATATTTATTTTGGGAAAAGAAAAGTATATATAGGGCTGTTATCCTTGGTTTTTGGCATTCACTAGGGGTCTTAAGAAAATAATTCGTAGATACAGTCCATGTGATACACAAGATAGTGGATTGGACGAAGAAGATGGTGAGTGGAGGTGAAAAGAGATGTTATGAGAAATTTGGTGTATTGAATTGATAGGACTGAGTGATGGATGGTGTGTAGGACTATGTGCTTGGCGGGGGAAGTGGTAAGGGAGAAGAAAATGGTAAGGTGTTTCTGGGTTAATGGTTAGTAGGTAGATGGTGGTGCCTTTCCCTGAAAAGTGATCACTGGAAGTGGACCAGTTTGGAGATGGGATACTTTGAGTTCATTTTGGGACATGTTGAATTTGAAGTGATTTTAATGTATGTGGTGCTGAAGCAAGTACAAATTTGAAATGAATTCAAAACATCCAAGAGGTGATGTTGACCATGCAGTTAAGTAAACATATCTGGAACTTTGAGAAAGATAGGGAATAGAAAATATATATTTGGCATTTAGAATGAATCCACAGATGTGGATCAGATTGTTTCAGGAGAGAATAGGATATAACACGGTCTTGAAACATTTAATTACTGGGTGGAAGGAAAGCCTGGAATATAGACAAGAAGGGGTAGACATAGAGGTTCTAGGAAAACTAGGAGGATGTGGTTAGTATACAGATGCCAGAGATAAGGAGAACGTGACAAGTATAGCTAAATGAGGCTAAGAAATAGATATACACATTTAATGTCCATTGGATTTAGCATTGCGAATGTCATTCATGCTTTAATGAAATACAGTGTAGTGAATAATGTAGACTTGTTTAGTTGTTATCTTTATCATTGAAAAATAGAATATTGGGGCATAGTGGTTAGGATGTTACTTGAGGGGGCTGGTATTGTGGCATAATGGGTTAAGTTATTTATGATGCTGGCTGTAGAAAATGACTCAAACTCTTGGGTCCCTGTACCCATGTGCAAGACCTGGAAGAAGCTCCTGGCCTCAGACTGGCTCAGCCCTAACTATTGTAGCCATTTGGGAGAGTGAGCCAATGGATGAAAGATTTCTCTGTGTCTGTCTTTCTCTGTAACTCTGCTTTTCAAATAAAAATAAATAAATCTGGGAAAAAGAGTTATTGCTTTGAAAGGTAGAGTGACAGAGATCTTCTAACTGCTAGTTCACTGCCCAAGGCTTTAGCAGCTTGGTGGGTTGGGCCAGCCTGAAGCCAGGATCCAAGAACTTAGGTGCTTGAACTATCTTCTGCCATTTCCCCAGGCTCATTAACAGGGAGCTGGATTGGAACTCATGACCAGGACTCGAAGCAGCACCCTAACATATGATACAGGTATTCCACATACTAACTTAACGTGCAAAACACAATGCCTGCCTTCTTTATTAGTGCTTTGGTTTGGTAGTTCTTTCATGTGGCAAGGCCACGTGAGGGAAAGGGTCTCGGGATTGGAATTTTAGGAGAGGTAAAAAAGAAAGATATTCGTTTATCTGTGGTAATACGGGTAATAGAGAAGGGAACAAGAGAAAGCCTGAGGGAAAATGAGCTAGGAAGAGCCCAGACTTGGTAATGATTTCTAGGGTTGGATTGGGCGTTCCTTCAGCCCTTTGATACCTGTCATTTGTCTTTACCGTAATGCTGCCCAGCTGTCTCTCCTGCTGGAGTGAGCTCCCTCTGGCTGGTGTTGTTTTTGGTTTACTCTTGTGTAGTTGCTTGGCTCATAGTAGACCAGACATTCAGGTTCTCCAGGGCAGGCCCCAGTGCCTTTTTCCACCACTGCTTTAACCATTGTTTGCCTTGCACCTTGTGCTCCAGCAACACTGAAATAAAAGCCTTTTCCCCAGGCATGTTAAGTGTTTTAATTCTCTGGCTTGTTCTGTTGTCCTGGAAAATTTCTCCAGGTTAATGCCTTTGTCTTTTGAATCAGTCCTCTCAACTCTCCAGATTGGCCACTTTCCTCCTGCTGTCTCCCATCATGACCTTTAGCAAACTGTGTGGTAATTGGCAGTTCCATGTTCTTAAAGAACTTGCAGATTTTAGCTAGGTTGTTACTGTCCTTACCCATCAAGCTCCATTGCTTACTGAACTCATCCATCTTGGCTTTGCTGATGACAGATATTCTGAAATGAGAGTGACTTCCTGGAAATTGGTTGGCATTTCCTCTTTATGGTCCTCTGGTTTTATGTCATCTTTGCTTTTGTGTCAGTTCTCAGCAGTTCCCTAGCATAATCCGTTAATATTGAAATATAGCTTTTTTATTCTTCCCACTTACCAGAGACTCACAGGATTTTTATCCCTGATAATTTTAAAATATATTTTTCTGTTTAAATTTCTACCCTTGGGCCAGGCGGCGTGGCCTAGCAGCTAAAGTCCTCGCTTTGTACACACCGAGATCCCATATGGGCGATGGTTCTAGTCCTGGCAGCCCCGCTTCCCATCCAGCTCCCTGCTTGTGGCCTGGGAAAGCAGTTGGGGACGAGCCAAATTTTGGGACCCTGCATCTGCATGGGAGACTTGGAGAAAGTTCCTGACTCCTGGCTTCGGGTCGGCTTGGCTCTGGCTGTTACAGTCACTTAGGCAGTAAGTCATTGGACAGAAGATCGTCTTCTCTATATATCTGACTTTGCAATAAAAATAAATAAAATCTTAAAAAAAAATCTCTACCCTTGTAGATTTTTGGAAAATGTCCATTAAGGAAAAATTGGGAAGTTATGGCAAATAATATCTCCCTGTATGCACAGAGGCTAACTTTTAAAATTTTTAATATTTAGGCCTTGAATTTTTTTCCTACTTATTCAGGTAAGATCATATTGTAAATAGTTTTATGGAATGCTTTATTTATTTATTTTGAAAGTCAGAATTTTAGGGGCCCGGCAGCATGGCCTAGCAGCTAAGGTCCTCACCTTGAACGCCCTGGGATCCCATATGGGCACTGGTTCTAATCCCGGCAGCTCCACTTCCCATCCAGCTCCCTGCTTGTGGCCTGGGAAAGCAGTCGAGGACGGCTCAAAGCTTTGGGACCCTGCACCTGCATGGGAGACCTGGAAGGAAGTTCCTGGTTCCTGGCTTTGGATCAGCGTAGTACCAGCCATTGTGCTCACTTGAGGAGTGAATCATTGGATGGAAGATCTTCCTCTCTATCTCTCCTCTTCTCTGTATATCTGACTTTGTAATATAAATAAATTATTTATAAAAAATTATTTATAATTATAAAAATTATAATTATAAAAATTTTTTATAAAAAAAGAAAGAATTTTAGAACCTGTGAGAGACAGATCTTCCATCTATTGGTCCAATCCCCAGATGCCCCTTATGACCAGAACAGCCAGTGAGGGACCAAGGTTAAGGGGTGAGAGAAGCTGGGAATATTACCTGGTGGGTGGCAGGGATCCAGTCACTTGGACCATTTTCTGCTGCTTCTCCCAGGCTGTTAGTAGGGAGCCGAACTGAAGTGGGCTAGTTGGAAGAATTCTCATTAGGGACGACAGCATTGCAGGCAGTGGTATTACCCTTACACTAAACTACATTGCTGGCCCCAGGGGTGCTTTGTTTTTTTTTTAATGCGTTTATTTGATATAGAGAGGAACATTCAGACAAGAGATCCACATGCTGGTTTACTCCTCACACATGCCCAGTTGGCAGCCTGGGAAGGGAGCTGGGAACCTCTGATCCAGGCCCTCTGTGGATTCAGGGACCTAACTCCCGGAGCTGTTTACCTACTGCTTCCCAGAGTACACATTAGCAGCAAGGTGGACTCAGGCATGGAGCCAGGCACACCAGTGTGGGATGCAGACATCCTAATTGATGTCTCAATTGCCAGGCTGTCTGCCCCATATAGTTCTTTTTTAATTGGAAAGGCAGATGTACAGAAAGGAGGAGAGACAGAGAGGAAGATCTTCTGTCTGATGATTCACTCCCCACGTGGCCACAACAGCTGGTGCTGCGCTGATCTGAAGCCAGGAACCAGGAACTTCTTTCTGGGTCTCCCACGCAGGTACAGGGTCCCAATGCTCTGGGCCGTCCTTGACTGCTTTCCAAGGCCACAAGCAGGGAGCTGGATGGAAAGTGGAGCTGCTGGGATTAGAACAAGCACCCATATGGGATCCCGGGCATTCAAGACAAGGACCTTAACCACTACGCTATCATGCGGGGCCCCCCATAAAGTTCTTTTTAATTTAAAACTGTATCATAAGCATTTTCCAGTGTCATTAAAATTTGTATTAAGCATCAGTGTTAACGACTGTATGCTGTTGTGTTGCATGACATGATTTTATTTGTTTATTTAGTTTAGTTAGTCCTTATTAGATATTTAGGCCACTTTTCTTTTTTTTGTATATTAAAATTGAGATAACCATTTTTAGTTATAAATTGCAGTGTGTTTTTTGATAATTTTTAAAGAATATTTATGAATAGGGTAATTGGAATAAAGTATGTATTTGTTTTAAGCTTTTGGTTCACACTATTGCATTGTTTTCATAGTTCATTGCAGGGTCTGAGTAATGGTTTATTGAGGGAACAAGCATTCCCCACAAAGACTGCATCCCTGGGGGGGAGTGGTATGAGCTGAAACTCCAGTTCTGCCTTTCATCTTTGACCTGCAGTGTCCTCTGTCCTCATTCCTTCAAAGTTACAGCTTCATCTTCTGGCTACTTTCAGAGTTAATTGCTTTTTCTAGCACAGGCCAGATGGAATCAGGTCCGTTCTTTCTCTGCCAAAAAAGAAATCCTGCATTTGTCCTCATTTGGTCATGTTCCTTCTTCACCTTCCATCAGTGTCTGACTCAGAGGGCCCTTGCTGAGAACCACCAAGATCTGTCAAGCTTGACTGGTCTCATGGGTAGCATTCAAAATACGGACAGAAAATACATCTAGCTGAAGGAAACAATGTTTCTGAGAGAGCAAAGGGGACCTCCTTCCCCGAGTGATCCTAACCTTCTGTCTTTCTGGGACTCTGTTATCTGTAAAACAGGCTGACAAGAATACCTTCTATTACCAGTACAGGTGTGACAGGAATAATCAGTTCTTCAAACAATAAACTTTTTAATTAGTGTATTTTTTTTTTTTTTAATTTTAAAAGGTATAGACAGAGAAGGAGAGAGAAAATTCCGAGGTGTTGGCTGTCTCTCTAAATTCATGGACACTGGGCCTGGGAACTCAATCAGGGTCTCTCAGTAGGTTATAGGAATGTGTTCTTAAGCTGTGCTGTGGCCTGTTGCCTCCATTCCCAGATATGTATCAGCAGGAACATGGAATTAAGAGCAGAGTCAGGACTCAAACTCAGTCACTTCACTGTGGAACGTGGGCATCCCAACTGGTGCTGAAGCACGAGGCTAAGTGCCTAACCCACTAACAATGCATTCTCTGTGAGTGGCTGCTGTGAAGATGGTGTGATAAACCAGGTATCTTCACTTTATTCAGAACATTGTTCATTCAGTATTGATTTCCTTGAGTCCCAAAGAGGAGCATTTCTATTTTTTTTTTTAAGATTTATTTATTTATTTTATTGGGCCTGGCGGCATGGCCTAGTGGCTAAAGTCCTCTCCTTGAACGCGCCGGGATCCCATATGGGCGCCAGTTCTAATCCCAGCAGCTCCACTTCCCATCCAGCTCCCTGCTTGTGGCCTTGAAAAGCAGTCGAGAATGGCCCAATGCTTTGAGACCCTGCACCCGTGTGGGAGACCTGGAGGAGGTTGCTGGTTCCTGGCTTTGGATCAGGATAGCATCAGCCGTTGCGCTCACTTGGAGATTGAATCATCGGACAGAAGATCTTCCTCTCTGTCTCTCCTGCATCTGTATATCTGACTTTCCAATAAATAAATAAATCTAAAAAAAAAAAGATTTATTTATTTTATTGGAAAGGCAGATGAACAGAGAGGAGGAGAGAGGGAGAGGAAGATCTTCCGTCTGATGATTGACCCCCAAGTGGCCACATCGTCCACTGCTGTGCCAATCTGAAGCTAGGAACCAGGATCTCTTTCAAGTCTTCCACGCAGGTGCAGGGTCCCAAAGCTTTGGGCCATCCTTTACTGTTTTCCCAGGTCACAAGCAGGGAGCTGGTTGGGAAGTAGAGCTGCCGGGAATAGAACTGGCACCCATATGGGATCCTGGTGCATTCAAAGCAAGGACCTTAACCATTACACTATCGTGCCGGGCCCAATTTCCTGTTTTTGTTTTTTTTTTTTTTAATTGCTTATTTGAGGGAGAAGAAGTAAGACAAACATTCAGAGAGAGGAAAAGATAAATAGCTCCGATTTGTTTGTTCATTCCTAAAATGTCCACAACAGTCTGGCTGGATGGGGTTGAAGCCAGGAAGTGGAAGTTCTAGGTTTCCCACATGAGTATTTTTATTTAAGGTTTTCTACCTCAGTGGGTTGTTTTCTCTTCTTTTCTTTATTAAAGATTTATTTTTATTGGAAAGTTAGGTATACAAAGATGACAAGGTGCAGAGGAAGAGCTTCCATCTGATGGTTCACTCCCCAAGTGGCCACAATGGCCGGAGCTGCACTGATCTGAAGCCAGGAACCTGGAGCCTCTTCTGGATCTCCCACGTGGGTGCATGGTCCCAAGGCCTTGGGCCATTCTCGATTGATTTCTTAGGCCACAAGCAGGGAGCTGGATGGGAAGTGGGACTGCCAGGACACGAACTGGCACCCATATGGAATCCCGGTGCTTGCAAGGCAAGGACTTTAGCCACTATGCTATCGCAATTGCACGGGACCCTGCATGAATATTAGGAACTCAGTTATGAAAACCATCAGTGCAGCCTCACAGGGTCTGCTCTGGCAGGAGCTTGGGGTCAGGAGCCAGAGCTAAGTACCCAACGTGGAATGCAAGTTTCTTTTTTTTTCAATATATCTTTTTTATTATTATTATGTTTTATTATTCCTATCATTTTATGATACAGTTACGTATTCTCTGATCCCTTCTCCAATTCCCTTCCCCCCCACCTAGTTCCTCTATGTCATTACTAAAGTATAGTTCTTCATACTCAGTCATATGTCCATCATTGTGGGCGTGGACAATGGCAGAGAGTCCAGAATCCTATGGGCAGGGTATAGCAAACAGTTTCATTGTAAGTCCATCTTTGTCTGGAAGGAGAAATGCATACCACACTGCATCCTCATATCTGGATGTTAGTCTCCATTTCACAGCTACTGTACTTCCCCTTAAATGAAAAGTCATGATACAAAATCAACAACAGAAAGAAAAATAGAAATTTACAATGCCATGAAGTTAAATGACATGTTACTAGATATGACAGTCTGCATTACACAGCTACTATATATCCCTCTAAATAAAAAGTCACAATACAAAATCAACATCAGGGAGAAAAAATAAATTACCACCACCACGAAGTTAAATAGCTTGCTACTAAATGTCTAACGTATAGCTGAAGAAATGAAAATCAAGAACCTTCTTGAAGAAAATGATGCTACTGTATGATGTATGAGTCATTGAATGATTGAATCAGAAGAAAGTGTTTTGAAGAGATGAAACTAACAAAAGCATCAAAATCCGTGAGATATAGGCTCCACTGATTTTTGTTGGTGAAATGTGTGTCTTCTAGACAACAAACAGATGTGTTTTATTTTTTAATCCAGTCTACTACTGTATGACATTTGATTGAGCTTAAGCCAATTACTTTCAGGGTTAATATACATGGGCGGTAATTTGATCCTGTCATTTTAGGAATGGGTTGTTCATTGGCTTAGTCTTCTGTTGTCATTTTACTGGGATGTTCTTCCCGTTTGCCTTTGGTTTCATTGGGTGCTATTCCTCTTCTCTGTCAAGAGAACATCTTGAAGTATCATTTGTAGGGCAGGTTTGAAAGAGGCAAATTCTTTTAACTTTTCTTTACTGTGGAAGAATTTTATTTCATTTTCAAAGACGAAACAAAGCTTTGCTGGGTACGTTAACATGGGCTCACAATTTTTTCCTTTTAGAATTTGGAATATGTCACTCCATTCTCTTCTTGCCTGTAGAGTTTCCTGTGAGAGATCTCCTGTGAGCTTAATGGCATTCCTTTATATGTCAGTTGATTTTTTTTCACGAGCACATTTAAGGATCTTTTCCTTATTTTCAATTGAAGAGAGCTTGATGATCATGATCAAAAGATTGCTTTTGATCAAGCCTGTTGGGAGTTCTGTGCCCCTCCTGATGTTATTTCCCAATTCTTTCTCTAGATTAGGGAAGTTTTCCCTTATTATTTCATTAAACATATCTGTCAAATCAGTTTCTCTTTCTGTACCTTCTGGGACTCTGATAACTCTTATATTAGGTCTCATAGTGTCTTTGAATTCTTGAATACTTTTTTTGGCCTGATCCAGCTCTGCTTCCAGGTTTTTGTTTACTTCCCCCTGGTGACAGGAAATATCTTCTAATTCTGAGATTCTTCCTTCTGCCTCCTTGATTCTATTTTGGAGACTCTTGATTGTACTTTTAATTTGCTGTACTGTGTTCTTAATTTCTGATATATCAGCCTTGATTTGCTTTATTGCTTCCATAAATTCTTTGAGCTCTTTTTTTTAAAAGATTTATTTATTTTTATTACAAAGTCAGATATACAGAGAGGAGGAGAGACAGAGAGGAAAATCTTCTGTCCGATGATTCACTCCCCAAGTGAGCGCCGATAGCCCCATAGCCGATGCTATGCTGATCCAAAGCCAGGATCCAGGAGCTTCTTCCAGTTCTCCCACACGGGTGCAGGGTCTCAAAGCATTGGGCCATCCTCGACTGCTTTTCCAGGTTACAAGCAGGGAGCTGGATGGGAAGTGGAGCTGTCGGGATTAGAACTGGCGCCCATATGGGATCCTGGTGGCGTTCAAGGCGAGGACTTTAGCCGCCAGGCCACGCCGCCAGGTCCAAATTCTTTGAACTCTTGCATGAGCTTCTCATTGTTGATCAGATTGTTTAAAATGAGTCTTATGGATTCTGTGTCTCCCATTTTCTCAGTGTCTTCCTCAGTTAACTCTGAGGTTGGCATAGGGTTTTGCTCCTTTGCAGGGGAGTTTCAGTAATATTCATTGTGCTTTTGTCTCTTCTTTTGCTCTTTGTCATTGTATTTCGGGTAGCAGATCCTTCTCCTTGGGGCAGGTTTCTAAGCTGCGTCACGCACAAGTCTACAGTTTGATTTTACTTATTGCAGTTGGTGTACAACTTTTTGTTTGCAGCCACTTGTGCTTCCACCTCCAGCGAGTTCCAGCTCTGGGTTCTTATGTTAGGTTTTCACTGTGGTCTCCACAGCCACAGCAGGTCCCAGGATTAGAGACACCAAGTGTCCTATACAGTTAGGTTGATGGTAATGCTGATCTTGTTGGGACCTGTTGGCTGTTAGGTTTGGGTGCCACACGGACCTATTTTGACTCATATGATGCCACAGTCGGTATTATTTTTTTTTAATGCAGGACCAGTGCAAACCACGGACCTCAGCAAGTTCTCTCGAGCTCAGCCCATGCACAGTTCACTGTTGTCCCCTGTAGTCCTAAACTTTTGCCACACTGTACAAAATGGCGCCTTAAGGTACCACCACCACAGTTCTTGATCTGCTGGCCGTCATATCGGAGGGGGCTACCCAGACCTGTCTTGGGTGGAACCCATAGAATGCCCCGTCATTGCAGTTCACCCAGTCAGAAATGAGCTCACTCCCAGCTCTGTTTATGCTCAGTCCTTTCCCTTGCCTTTGCCTCCTTACACAAAATGGTGCCCAATTCAGCTCTAGGGGGCTGACTGGGCTATGAAATCCACTCTGTTCTCGCACTGCCTATCTGAGATCTGCTCTGTCTCTGCTCCTGGTCAAATCAAACGGACCAGCAGGATGGACCGTTCTTTGTCTGGGTTCACCTCCCAAGCTTCCAGTGAAAGCTGGTTGCTGGTGGAGTTCTGATCACCGTGCTGGAGTACCATTCACTGCAACAGCACAGTGCTGTGCCCGCTGCTTTCCTGTGTCTGTCAGTCTCCAGCTACCCCTCTGCTGTTGTTTTGTCCTTTCCTATTTCCTGAAATATATCCTCTCTGCTTCATCCTGATTAAATGTTTTTCCATTCATTTAAACGTGTCCTTGCCCTATTCTGCCATCTTGATTCTCCGAATGCAAGTTTCTTAACCACTGGGTTAAAAGCCACTCTTCTTAAATACCTGTTTTGTGCAGGAGTTTTGGCTAAGTACTAGATGGTGAAGGAAAATTGCCCATAAAGGACTTGCAATTCACTATGCGCTATGGTTTGTACAGGATTTGTTTCCCCAGGGGCTAGTGTTGTGGCACAGTGCATTGAGCTCGTAACACCAGCATTCTGTATAGAAGTGCCAGTTCAAGTCCTGGCTGTTCCATTTGTGAAGCTGCTCTCTGATTATGTGCTTGGAAAGGCAGAAAATGGTCCCAGGTGCTAGCACTCCTGCCACTATGTGGCCTCAGATGTGGTGGCCACTTCGATAGTGAAACATTTGGTGGAATATTTGCTTCTCTTTGTCCATGTTACTCTTTCAAATAATTTTTTTTTTTAAAGTAAGGAACATCACTCCCCTGTCACAGCAATTTGCGCCTCATAGTCTCAAGTTGATAGTTAATGGATTGTTAGTAGGTTAAGGGTAAGATCCTGATCCAGTGTTGGTGTCTGAAGATAAGGCCTTTGGGAAGTACCTGCATTGTGTTATGTTGCCAGGTAGTAGCCCCAGGACCAAATATTGATGGTTTGTGGAGACATCTGGACATGGAGGAAGAGTGCTCTCAGTGTGTCTCTGCTTCCTGGTTTGCCCTGTGTTCCTAGTCTTGGTTTCTGCCATTGATCATCTTTATCAGATGTTAAACTAATGGTGCCTCCCGGTAGTGGATTATGACTCTCCAGATTATCACCAAAATAAACCTTTCTTCCAGAGACAACTTCTGTTAGGGTATTTTAGTTGTAGCTATGAAAAGACTAATAGGTATGGAGCATGCTGTGACACCAGTATGTAATAGTAGCAGTAGCAACAGTGGGAGCTAACACTTAATGCACCAAATACTGCTTAAAGTGCTTTGCCTGAATTAATTAATTTAACCTTTAAAACTTTTAAGGTAGATGCATGATTAGTGTAAAATACAAATTATAGTGGGATTCAAAGGAGAGTTTAAGCATAGTTATTATTTATTGAGTACCCATGTGAATTCTGTAGTATTTTTTATGTGTATGCACATATGTGTGTATGCATGTGTTTATCATCCGTACCGCAACTCTGTGAGGTTAAGTGAAATCGTTTTACACGTGAAGAAAGATTAAGAAATGCACTGAAATTTACAGATTTATAAGATGTAGAGTTGTGATTGAGCTAATTTTTATTCCAGTTCCAAAGCCATGATTCTTAAGATTTTGTAATTGTAAGTAGGAAGATAGTTGAAACTCTTGAAATTAAGGAACTTGTAGGATCAAGCATAAGAAGCATCATTGCCTTTTAAGAGAACATGTGTACTTTCCTCTAAGTGTGGGATATTTCCGTTTCCCCATACTTGCCTGTCCTTTCCTCTCCAGGATAGACTAAGAAATCCTCTCCTCTCAGCCTGGAATGTGAGTGCTTCCTGAGCATTATACTTGAGGCTGTTGTTGCTGATGGCACATGGCAGTTCTGAATGCTTTAACCAAGTGCCTAATAACTGAAAATTCAATTTGGGCAGCTGCACCATGCAACCAGATGGGATTTAAAATTGGCATGCTCAAAAAAAGGGGAAAAACTCAGTGATTTAAAAATGTCAATTTGCAACCTGATGTTACCATTGCTAGAATTTTCTAATTTTTCTCTAGTGAAGAATAGGAAATGTTTCATTAAATTCCTGTTAAATTGTTTACACTTGTTGTACACTGCACAGATGTGCTCATCTGGCTGCAATGTCTTTCCAAAATTGTGTGTGATGGAAAAGAGAAAAATGAGCAGTTTCAGTTCAGTCTGGAATGGCTTTTGAATAAAGCAGTGAAGTGAAATTTTTAGAGTTAATGGAATTGACTTTAACAGTTGCTTTTGTAATTGTACCAGGTAATTAAATCATTGTATTACTGCTTTGAGAGGTGTAGACTAATTGTGGGAGATCCATTTAAAATAGGCTGTATTTAAAACTGCATGGGGTGTTTAGCCTAGTGATTAGGATGCCTACGACCCACGCTGGAATATCTGGGTTCCACACCTGGCTCCACTCCTGAGCAGTTTCCAGTGGACGCCTGCCCTGGCAGACAACCATGGTGGCTCAAGTAATTGGGTTCCTGCAACTTGTGTGGGAGACTCAGGTTGAGTTTCTGACTTTGAGCTGCCTCAGCTCAGGCTGCTCCAAGCTTTTGCGGAGCGAATCAGCAGATAAGTAGAACATCTGTCCATCTCTCACTCCCTCTCTCCCTCCCTCACTCCATCTCTGTGTGTCTGTCTCTTTGCCTCTCAAATTAAACAATAACAAAAGCAAAACAAACAAAAAACAGAAGAAGAGACAGCAGAAGCCTGTTTGCATTGCACAAGCTTTGTCTCATCACATTTTGTAGCAACTTCCTGACCTTTCTCTCTGCTGTGTCACCTCTCCAATATCTGTTTTACCTCCTGCTTCTGAGATTTGTTAAATATAGAGTGCATTCCTCTTTCCCGCAGAGGTTTTCCTTAACATTGCGAGTAAAATGTAAATCTCTTAGTTTGGCATGTGAGACTCTAATGTTGTAGCCCCTGCCTGTCTCATTTAGTCTGATTTCCTCTTCTTCTATGTTCTTGCACCCAAACTGAATGACTTGGCATTTAGTGTTCAGGTCCTGTTCCTGTGCCTTCGTTCATGTTGTTGTTTGTGTTTGGGACACCCTCCCACCCTCTTTTCCTGCCCCAGCCTCTTGTTACCTTGAACACTTGCTTCAGGCTTACCTCTGAGCAGCCTCCCAGTGGTTGCTCCTCCCTGCCCCACTTCACCACTGAGTTTTGTCTCTGTTTTGTGCTCCTCATAGCCCTGATGCTTTCCTCTAGGGTAGAGCACGTTCTGTTATTTTAGCATACGTTTCTTTCTGACACTAGGACTTCTCTTTCTTTAGCACTTAGCTCTTAGTAGTTCCTCAGAAAATGTGTGGCAAATGATTGATGTTTTACATAAAAAGCACACTGAAACTGTATTCAATCATGAAGTTACAAAAAGTATGATAGATTTCAACCACTGTCTTTCTGTTTTTCTTTCTGCTGAGTAGAGATATTGTTCCAATGTCTAGAACAAAATCCTTTTAGAATAACTTGCAGTTTAAATTACATCACCAAACCTAAATCAAGAAATAAGCTGTATTCTAATCAAGTCTAACAGTAGTAGTGGAGCTTTGGTTTGGCAAGAGGATCTGAACAAAAGCTTTCTCGTTGCTTTCGGCTATTGTGATACCTGCCTCTTTGCACAAGTTGGAATTCTGGGGGCTTATCAGAGTGTATAGAACCTCCAATATATGGAACAGAGGTCCTGGGTAGTGTATAATAATAAGGTAGAATAAGCTCTCTCTTACTCAATGTCATTTATAAGAAACATTTATCGATGATTTACTAAAGGCTGATGCCAGTCTACAGGAACGAGCCAGACACTGGCTTGCCAAACTTCCTGGTAGACTATGTACGGCTTAGGGAACACACACAATTTAGACTAGCATTGGCCAGTGCAACTTTCTGCAGTGATAGCAATGTTGTATATCCAAGTCACCAGCCCCATGTAGCTCTTTTAAAAAAAAAAAAAAAAGTACTTGATCTTAGTCAAAAGGCCAAGAAGCAGTCTTTTTTTTTTTTTTTAATTGAAAGATCTATTTATTAGAGTGACAAGGTGAGAGCAAGGGTAGGGTAGGGGGCCAGGGAGATCTTCCATCTGCTCTTTATTCCCTGAATGCTTACAATGGCAAAAGACTGCTAGGTTGAAGCCAGAAGCTAGGAACTCCATCAGGGTATCTCCTGTGGGTGGCAGAGACCCAAGTACTTGGGTTATCTGCTGCCTTTCTGGATGCACATAGGCAAGGAGTTAGATTGGAAGTAGAGTAGCCAGAATTTGGTGGCGCTCCAGTATGGGATGAAGGCATCCCAAGTGGTTGCTTAACCTACTGCACTGGAACTCAGACCTAAATGCTTGAAGGACAGGGAGACTAAAGAACTGAAATTTAAATTTTGTTTAATTTTTATATTTGAATTTAAATAGCTGCAGAAATTTAAATTTTGTTTAGTTCTAGGTTTGAATTTAAATAGTTGCAAGTGCCTAATGGCTAATGAAAAATAGTTCTTGAGGGCATGTCACTGAGACAGACATAATAAGGAAGTACAGGAGCTGTGTATAGGTATAGCAAGTGCTATGATGCAAATACGGCTGGTGTTCTCTCTAGGAGTAAATGAGATGTATCTGGAATAATTGAAACTCAAAGGAAAAAGTAGATCTGGACCTGGAGAGAAAGATTTAAAAAATGTATCATAGGGCCCGGCGCGGTGGCGCAAGTGGTTAAGGTCCTCACCTAGCACGCCCGGGATCCCATATGGGCGCCGGTTCTAATCCTGGCAGC